CCTCGGAATGATGCTTGCCTTGTTTATTATGCAGACGCTAGTTACTTATTGAACTCGCACAAGGCAAAATCCCCAAATGGTTAATACTTTACCATTAGGGATATTGCAATATCTTGGAAGGTCCACGATATGACCTTAGTTGGGAAACCTTCGAATTGTTCTAAGACTCACCTCACTTCACTACGCCACAAGTGAGACATGGTTAAGAGTTTTTGTTGAGCATTTCTCGAAGTACTTGTTGTTTTCATCCATCGTTGAGTCCCAACGATGATCCATGAAGATTATGTCGCATGTATCAACCATACCAAGCCATGATACATTAACGAAGTCAACACCAAGACATATTGCGTCTACATCAGCAAAGCATCAGGAGATTGAAGTCATGCAAGCCGATCCTAGACAACCTTGTCGACCTCTACATGACGTCACTGCCAAAGTCAACCTTCCAGAAGCTTGTCTGAGGAATTGGTATGCCTAACTATCCTATGCAATGTTTGTAGTTCTCATTTGGAAGTTATGTCAAACTCAGGGGGAGTATCTAGAAGTATACTCACTTGATTTTAATGTACTCTTTTCCCTACGATTAGGAGTATTTTTCCCACTGGATTTTTGCTACCTAACTAGGTTTTAACGAGGCACCCATCCGAGGCTGATCATAACCTTGTGAGCTCTACTACTTGCGTCCAAAAGACGTGTATTTTTTACTTAATGCAACTTCTCACTTTTCTCCTTAGTCTATGGGTTTTTTTCCCACCCTGGGTTTTACCATAGCGAGGTTTTGTGAGTTGTACTTTTTATGCATTCTTCCATTGATTTGAGACTCGCATTCACTCATTGTGCCGACGACTTCATCAACTATATTTACTTCATCACTAAATACTTGATGCGCCATATACTTGAGTATTTACACACTCAAGTGAGAGTGTTGCAATCCTATTAGATTAGGAATGTGATTGTGTAAATCCTAGTATATCTTGAAATATCTCTTATATTCCTATTAGGAGTAGATTACCTATTAAATGTTGTAATCCTAAAGGGTAAGGAATTAACCTTCCCTACTATTATAAATAAAGGCACAATGGGGGTGGAATAGAACACACCCCACAATTACACATCTCTCTCTTTCTCTCTATGTGCCGCACCCCCTCTCTCTCTATGACCTTTATATAGTTCAGTAAATTATGCCTACAACAATTTGAATGATGAACATTTATATGCATTCACTTATATAAAATTTTTAACTAAAATATGACCGAATGACCACATTAATTTGCGATACTTATTTTCAGGGATTATATTGATTGATTTTCAATTTTAAGGACCATCTTGATGGTAAAAGTCAATTTCAAAGACTATTTATGATAAAAATCCTATTTTTTTATTATATAAGTTTAGTCATAAAAGGCGACCAAAAGAAAAGACATATCCAACATGAACCCAAACCAGATGAGGTAGAGAAAACAGAACATTGCCAAAAGGTAACAACAGTTTATTCCAAGATTCTGGTTGCCAGACCAGATGTTTACAAATCCATGAGACTGAGAAAACGCGGAAAAGGTATAGGGACTTCAATTAGTCCATTGAATCATCAATCATGGATCACGACACACGCCGAATTATATATCGGCAGACTTGTATTCCTTCAACATGATTAAGACTCTCCCTTATACTAGTCTCAACCTTCAACATGATTAAGACTGTCCCTTATACTAGTCTCAACTATTTGCAGGCCGCCTCCAAGTATTCGGATTCACACTCGGTCAGTCTTGTGATGTGTGTGGTTATATAAACCGTGGTCATAAATCATGGACCATTTCCATATTCAGATAAGCACTAATCGGATTAGTTGTGTTTGTTATGGCCACCAAGTACGTAACTATATCTTTAGGTATACTTAATTAGCTATAATATTTTTTGTACAACAAACGATATTTTTACACTAAAGGGAAGGGTGTAGGCATAGTCTCACAATGAGTTAGCAATAATGTAGTTCAAATTCGCCTTTAGTGAGAATTGAACCTAAGGCCTCTCACTTAAAAGTGAAGATGAATATCACCATACCGTAGTACTAAGTAACGATTAGCTATCATAGCTATCATATTAATACATAAAAAAAGGATAATAAAAATTAATAACGAAATAGTTATCAAACAATGTTTAAATTTATATATTGTATTTGAATTCTTATGGGGTGAGATTTTCAAGTCAAACATGTGAACAATACAAATTGGATGACATGGAGCACACATGGCCGTTGATCTTCACACATGAAACCCGGATTTGATATATATCATGAAGAAAGTTAAAAGTTCACCATAAAACTAATTGGCAATATGGAGAATAGTCTAACATTTTGTAAATCCTTACAAAATTTTTTATTTTACTGATGTAAAACATTTTTACCTTCACATCCTCACAACTCCTATGTGTCTATTTTGCTTCATTACGTTACACCTTGTGCTCGCACAGAATAATCTGGTACCACGTTGAAAAGTCCATATGTCTGCCAGATACCCTTAGCCGTCGGGCATCAATAAATTTCTGCTACATGCGTATTACGTTAAGTAGGCTAACTAATTAGGAAGTATTTAGAACTGTAGTAGCGTGCTTGACCACCATGATTAATGTGCCTCTGTCAGGCCCTCGGGTACTATAATACTGCATGGATATAGTATAATGACTAACTTATTCTCAGTTGAATAAACACGCACGCACGCACACAACAAAACTGACATTTTCCAGCGATAGAGTATAATGACAAACTTATTCTCAGTTAAATAAACACCACACACACACAAACACACACGCAAAACTGACGACATATGCATGACTTATGCCAGCGATAGAGTATAATGACTAACTTATTCTCAGCTGAATAAACACCCCCCCCCCACACACACACACAACTGACATATGCCAGAGAGAGAAGACAATGACATGATCGGTCGAATCTCTAAATTAATGCGGGACAACGCTTCTTACATGTAACAGCAATGAACTTAAAAACTTGGAAGGAAAGAAGGAAAAAAAAAAGAGAGAACCAGAATTTAGAACTAAATTGTTTTTTTTTTTTAACAATTAATATTATTTACATTAAGAGAAGGGAATGTTGGGATTAACCTTACAATAAGCTAGCAATAATGTGATTCAAATTCGTCTTTGGCAAAAATTGAACCTAAAACCTCTTATTTACAAGTGAAAATGAATACCATCAAACTGTAATACTAAGTGACACCAAACTTGTTTTAATTGAATTTTTTTTCCGTGTTTTAAACTAACTCATGTTACAATATGTCTAATAATTTAGTAATACTTTATCTTAGATTCATAAAATTTAACCCCGTCGCTAGCTCGTGGATTAATTAGTTATACTGATTCAGATGGTGTGATAGAAAGTCTAGGATACTTACCTTGTAAAGATGGATTAAAAAGAGTTTTTATCATTTATAACCAAAATTTAGTCTCTAATTGAAAAAATGACAATGTTTATAATATCTTTCAAATATATTAAAAAACCAGTATGAATAGACCTATATACCCTTATAATAAAACTAATTTACCATCTTAAGCTATAAAACCTATTTGATCTTTTGTGTTTGTTCAAAGATGGAGACTGGAGTTCAACAAAATGAAAATAGATAGAGACTGTAGAGGCTCTGCCTCTACAAGTTCTCACCGGTAAATACTTGAGCTAATTGGGTAGCAATTAAAAAATGATTAACGTCTATGGGTTTTTTAGTTTCATATTGTTACTAGCTAGTTCGTATATCAATTTCTTGCAATTAGGTTTTAATTTTGAAGACATATTACGTCTTTTTTAGATTTTTTTGGGTTGAAATTCACCTTTTCAATCAGATTGCTATAGTTCAGCTCAGTTTCTTTATTTTATGTTCTAATTTCTTTGATTTTATTGCTATTTCATTATTGAATTTCAATTTTTTTTTTTGCCAAAGTATTGAATTTCAATTTTTGGTGCAGGAAATCAAAGCATTTGTTTGGCCTTATTTGGATCTACAGTACCAATAAATATTATTATTTTTGAAAAATCTTTAACCCAGAAGGATGGAAGTTCCCATCAAGCTAGCACTCAAATTGGGAAGAAACCAAATTAGGTTTTGGTGTGTATGTTTAAAGTTGTTGAATTAGGGTCTTGGCTTGAAGACTTGTTTATTACACAGATCGGGGAAGAAGACGAAGAAGGGATAGCGGAAGCTGGTGAGAATCCCATATAACATGGGTTTTAATATTGGGGTATTAGGTCAATTCAATCAGATTTTTTGCTATATTTGAAATATTTTGTAAAAACTAACATTTGTGAATTTAGAGGCTACATTTGATTATAATTGATAAATACTCGATTAAAAATCAATAATACAATAGTCATGACGAGAAGAAAATCTAAATCTAACAGAGTTATGAGGATAATGTTAGGGATACCAAATTTGTAAACCAAATGGTGTGTCACCAATAAGAAACAAGCACTTTAATCAACACTTAGTTAATAAATCAATCATCTACAACCACATCATTTAGTTTGCAAATTTAGTTTAAAAAATTTAGTCTCCTTAGCATTAACCCGAGTTATAATCGACATTTAGTTAATAAATCAATCATCTACAACCACATCATTTAGTTTGCAAATTTAGTTTAAAAAATTTAGTCTCCTTAACATTAATCCGAGTTATAATGTTCCCGTTGAGTGGTGCTATTGTGAACAGAAGCCAATAGGGGAATGGCCAACGTGAACCATGCACCAATGGATTGACTGCAGCTGACACTAATGTCTGTGGCAATTGTGTCGAAACTTCGTCCGAGAACAAATGTGTACGGAAATTAGTATGCGTATGCTTGTAGCTCTCTATAAATAACTTAGAAATTATATGCTTGATCTGCAAGACATAACAAAAGAAAAAAAAACAAGTGTAGGTACCTAAGTACCTGTGAGTGTGTGAGTACCTAAGTACCTGCAAGTGTGTGAGTATCTAAAAACACAATATTGCATGGATTCTCAAGAAATTTTGCTTAAGAATCTTGTTATGAAGGTCAAACAAGAATTGTTTTCACCCGATGTTGATCTTGTTTCTCTTGTTCCTCCTTCTCCTTATGACATTGCGTGGCTGTCGATGATTCCGAATCCTCATCGAGGATCGGATGAACCCTTGTTCAAGGGATGCTTGGATTGGGTTCTCCAACACCAAACCACAAGAGGCTTTTGGGGAGATAATGACCATTTTCCAACCCTGGAGTCCCTCACTTCAACTCTTGCTTGCATTGTTGCACTTGCCACATGGGATGTTGGCCATGATGCCGCTCAGAAAGGTACGTAAAAGGAAAATAGTTGATCAAATTTCGCAAACCCTGGAAAATTTTAATATCGAAAGGATAATGTTAGAGAAACCAAATTTTTAAACCAAAACTAATTTGCAGAACAAATGATGTGCCACAAATAGAAAATAACCATGTTAATTGACACTTAATTAATAATTCAATCATTAGCAATCACATAATTTGGTTTAAAATTTTGATTTCCGTAGAATTACCCATATCCAAAATACCCATTTATGCAGTTGGAATAATTGGTTATTGCAAATTTTTCTTATGTTTATTGTTTAGGGCTGGCATTCATCCATGCAAGTACAGAGAAGCTACTGGAAGAGCAAAACAATTCTTTTCCTGAGTGGTTTGTGATTGTTTTCCCAGCAATGGTGGAGCTTGCAGAGAACAAAGGACTGCATGTTCATTTTTCTCCTGGTTCAACAGCGCTGGTAGAACAAGTCTTCCAAAAGAGATCAAAAATATTCCAAATGCATAGGTATATATAGTTTTTAGTTTTTATATTTTATATAGAAATAAAGAGAAAATACAAGAAATGAAGAAAGTTGAAGTTCCACCATAAAACTAATTGGCAATATAGAAAGTAATTCAACCTCTTATAAGCCCTTGCATGATTTCTCATTTCACCAATATGAGACTCTTTTACCTTCACATTCTCACGGAAAGAAGTTAGTGATGAATAAGGATAGAGGATTGATGATGGGTAAAATATGGAAGAAATACACATTAAATAATACACAACATGAAAACTAAAAACTAAAAACAATTTTATCATGGATTTTCTTTTTTAGTTTTGGTTTTCCTTTTCTATTGCATTACATGCGCATTTCTCCTCCTCCCTCCTCCCACTCTGTTGCACTTTCTTTCCATCTCTAGTAAGAAAAAACTAAAAAACTGAAGATGAAATATTTATCTAACCAAATCCTAAAATATTTAATCTAGTTTTTGTTGGGGCAGGCTGGTGCCAATTAGTGATCAGCAACAGTATTGTTCACTAGAACTCATGCAATACCTGGAAGCTTTGCCTGAAGCATATGATATTAACCTCAATGAGACTCTACTGCTATGCCAAAGCGAGGAAGATGGGCTGTTAATCCAATCCCCATCAGCTATTGCATATGCTTTTATGAAGACAGGGCGTAAAGAATTTTTGTCCAAATTGAATTCTATTGTCCGAAGATGTGGGTTCTCAGGTAAGTTTTTTTTTTTGGAGTTTTAATGAAAAACCTATGGTACTGTTCACTTTAACGAAAAATCATATTTTTACATTAAAAAGTCAAACTTGCTACTATTCACTTTATCTTTTATTTTATCTTTATCGTTAAAACTCAAAATTTTCAAACACTTTTCATTAGTTTTCCTTTTTTTTTTGGTCAAGAGTTCTCAGGTACGTTTGACATGCATGCGTAATTCAATTTCATCTATTGCAAAAATTGAATTCTCGTGGCCAAAACCCAATAAAATTTGTTTTTGTTTTGTTGTTTCCTTCCTATGATGTGATTGTTGGTCTATGACACGTAATCTGCTGCCTCCTGTACAAATATCATACATGATAATTATATATACCATCCTATCCTTATACACTTTATGTGTATGAATATCTTTTTTGTTTGTTTCTAAAATGAAAATGAGAGAAGGGGACGTGAGAGTGGGAGGAGAGGTTTGTGTTTTTTGTTTTTAGTTTTTAATATTGGATATGTTAAAATCATATATAAGTGTGGCTCCAATAGAAAACAATAAAATTTAGTTTTGTGAACTTACATTATTGTTCCTTTTTTTTTTTTTTTTTTTTTTGATAGAAGATCAAATAGTCATCATCATCTTTTGATTGACAAAAGAAATTCCATTAATAGGTAATTTAGATAGACCTTTTGAAACACTTAAAATTTCTCTTCTCGAATAAAGATTAAAAAAAAAACAATTTAACATTAAAAAGGGTAAAATAGTAATTTAACTTCTATGGTGATAAGACCTACTTTTCTGGTGGTTATTATTATTAGTTTTCTTCGTGGTGGTGCGGTGCCTCTTCTCCGCTTTTCTGTATTCTGCCCTCTTTTCCATACTGGCGACATGGACGGTCAAGGACAAAAGAAATTTCTGGAAGGAGATATGATTCTGGATTTTTGAGGGAGGAGAGAAACATCGACGCCGTGGCCGCGTCGACAATTGTGAAAAAGGATGGGCAACTGTTAAAATGAAAATACCTATATAGCCACACGATCTATTTCAACGGTCAATATAAATTGGTTTGTAGGATCCGAACACAAAGTCCGGAGAAAATCAGAGTCTGCACTGAGGTGGTGGGTGAAGGAAGGGGAAGATTGAGGTGGAGGCAAGAGAGAGGTTTTGTTAATGTTTTTCTTGATTCAATCAATTTTTATTAATTTTATTAATATATTTATTTTAAAAGACTTTTTTGTTTTTAAATAATTAATAATAATGAGGGCAAATTTGTCTTTAAAAAATATTTTAGGTGATGTTAGCCTTAAAGAAGTTATGTGAAAGCTCCGGATAGTGTTAGTAGAATGTTTCAGACGTGAGAAATTTTTATGAAAATACGATAATTAAACTTAAAAGGGTGTTTTTGGTATACAATTGACCAAAAACATTATTACTGAATTACAAAAGAACTGCGCAAGTGGTTTATAGTTTAGTTGATTAAGAACATTGTTATTGCGTTCGAAGTATCTTGTTTGATTCCCGGGGGGTGTATTTTATATGTAATGTAAATTATCCTTTGTAAAACAAAATGACAAATTAACCACATCAACTCAGAGTAAGACAATTCTGGTATATGTGTACAGTTCCTGCGATCTACCCCATGGATGAAGACATTCTAAGGGTTTGTCTTGTTAATCGGATTGAGAGGCTGGGACTGGCAGAGCATTTCATGGTGGAGATAACAAGTATGCTGGGACAACTTTACAGGTGATGACCTAATATTCATCATTAAGCAATATATGCACACTATTTCTGGTTGGTATAATTTTTATTTAAAAAAAAAAAAAAAAACAGAAGTTACATCAGCTGCAAAGAGCCAAAGAACAAGGAAAAGCATGCCATGCCACTGCAACTATATAAAGATTCAATCGCGTTTCGACTGCTCAGACTACACGGTTATACAGTATCTCCTTGTAAGGATCAATTAATACTTAAATTCTGATATGTACATGCTTTCAAATGTATCTTTTTGTGATGACTTTGATATCTGGTTGTTGATAGGCTCGTTACGATGTTGTAGTCAGTTTATTTATTGATTTACATACCAAAATTTGTTAATAATTGTAGGGAAGTTCTGCTGGTTCCTTCGTGATGAAGATATAATGGTGTACATAGAAGAGCACCATGAAATTTTTCTGAGTGCCATATATAATGTATACAGGGCAACTGATGTGACCTTTACAGGAGAAAGTCAGCTTGAGGATGTTAAAAAATTCTGTAAAAGAATACTAGAAAAGGATACATTAAAAGATTCTAAGAATTTGCACGACCAGGTATACGTTCAACCATTATAATTAGTTATTTAATCGTACCCTAATTAATTTTGTTTCATATCTCCCTTGAGTAGATTAAGCATGAAATTAGTATTCCATGGCTTGCTCGGTTGGATCATCTGGAGCACAGGAAGTTCATTGAGATGAAAGAGCCTGTTGGTCCATGGATAGGAAAAGGCTTATCCTGCAGGTAATTAAATTAGTAGTAATTAATTGAACAGATGAAGGCAGTCAAATCTCTGATTAAGCAGTTTAATTTATTAATACCTCGCAGATTATCATGTCAAACCAATGCCATGCTACTACAACTTGCCATGGAGAATTACACACTACGGCAGTCCATGTTCAGAAATGAATTAAGGGAATTAGAAAGGTTCGTATTCACTCTCTACACTTTCACTTACTTCCATTTTTTAAAAATTTTAACCGGAATTAATTAACCATGAAAACCTTTTTCTTTTTCTTTTTCTTTTTCTGTTTTGGGTGAAAAATTAATCATGCAGGTGGTCAAAGGACATCGGTCTTGTTGACATGGGGTTTGCTCGACAGAAAACCGCGTACTGTTATTTTGCCGTTGCTTCAACAGCATCACATTCTTCCCTGTCATATGTACGGCTCGCAGTTGTGAAAGCTGCAGTCCTTGTTACAGTTGCTGATGATTTTTTTGACAAGGAAGGTTCGATGAATGAATTGGAAGCTCTTGCCAATGCCGTCGCTAGGTACAATATATTAACACATGATTTTTGTGTGCGCCAGTTATATAAAATTTGTCACGCAATATATGAATTGTTATGTGTTGGATCTCATAGACATGTTCTAAGATAAAAGTTATATATAATCCGCGCATAGAAATTTAAAGTAACGCATGTTATTATTTTTAGCTAGTTAAATGTGTACATCATACAGATGGCAGGAAAAAGAACTGGATGGACATGGAAAAGCTATATTCAAGGCTCTAAAAGACTTTGTTGATGACATTTCTTGGCAATTCTTCAAACAAAATGGATATGATATAAAGAGTTATCTTCAGGATCTAGTAAGATTTTTGGTAAAATAATTTAGTTGACATAATTGTAAAAAAATAATAAAATGTGTTACTTATTCTTCTTGTGTACTCTTTGCCGAGTGAATTTAGTGGCATCAAACATTTGTAAGCTGGTTAAAGGAAGCAGAATGGAGTAGAAATGGGCATCCCTTGTCAATTGTTGAGTACCTCCAAGTAGCCAAAAGCTCTATTGCTTCACATACTATTCTTCTTACAGCTGCTCTTCTGCTTAATACACCTCCAAAATCAGAGACCCTCAAGTCCCCTCAAAGTCATCCACTTACAAATTCACTTATGCTTTTGACACGGCTATTGAACGAAATTCAAAGCTATCAGGTATATGAGGAGAAATTGTTAATGTAACCGTCATATTGTCATATGATATTATTAATGCATCTTTTATGGTGAACACCAAAATTATTATATTAGGGACCTAGGTTATATCACTAATAAAACATGTTTTGACAAAAAAAAAATAAATGCACATAAATAGACTAAAGATAACTTCGCATGGTGGTGGGATAATCTCTCGGACGAGAAATTCATAATGACCACATTCTTGATTAGCATCATGTTGATTTAATATAATCTTAATCAATGGGGAAAATTGAAATTAATGATTTCATTGCAGAAGGAGCAAGAGGAGGGGAAGCCAAACCTTGTTCTGCTACACATGAAGGGAAATCCCAAATTGGGGGCTGAAGAGTCAATTGGGATTATACAGAAGATATTGGATGAAAAGAAGAAGGAGTTTCTAGAACAGGCTCTGGGGAATAAGGGCATCAACGGTGATGATATGCCAGAGGCATGCAAAGAACTCCACCTCTCCTGCCTCAAAGCCTTTCAGATGTTTTTCAATTCAACAAATGTATATGACTCCCCAACAGAATTGCTTGCTGACATCAACAAAGCAATTTATGATCCCTTGAAAATGGATGCACAAGGAATATTAAAGAAGGATAAAACTAAAAGCTTGGCTAGCTATGGAAAATCCCAGACTACTTGTGTACTGAAAGTCCAAGGGAACTCAAAGAAAGAATTTGTGGCCAAACCTTACTTTGGATATGAGGTATTGGCACTTCAGCTGAGAAAACCAACTATTTTTTCGACATTCCAGAATTCCAAGGTTTGCATCTATTCCGGCTACTGGGGTTAACACTCCTCTTTCAGCTTCATGCACTCGTCGCATTAGTGCAGAAATAAATTATAAATTATTCTGTTTGTAAAGTGAGAAATAAAAAGATGACTGCGAAAGTGGCTAGTTAGTCACCTTAATGTAATTGTTGAGAATAAATATCATATTGATAGGAGGAGAGATTTGGATGTGCTTATAAATAAGTTGGATTGTTTCCCAATCTTCAGCCAATTAATTTTAATATGGAACTTATTATATCCGGCAATGTACACGTTTGTGTTTGTGTTTGTGTTAATGTATAATAATTTTTATGAGTGGAATTGTACCTCTTATATATAAAAATAATTTCTTTATGAGTGGAATTGTCCCTCTTGCAGCCCCAATTAGAAGATAGTACGAAACCCAACTAAAAATAAAATAAATGAACAGAGGAGTTTTGTCTGTTGAGAAATTTGAGAAGGCAAGGTAAAAGAAAGGAAATGTCGGAATTGCATTGCTTTGTCCACCTTTAAAAGCGCAAGAAATTCTTTTAATATGGACTCCACGCTGACTTTTCTCACTCACTTCGGTGCCTAAAAATTAAATAATAAAATTAAAATGCACAAGAAAAATTGATGAGTCCATATTATACCATATATTTTATCCTTATCTTAGTATTAATATATTAGGTATTTTGGTAGAATTTTGATACTTTGTTATATATTTTCAATATAGGATATTCGATTTCATTTGGAGCAAAAAGTGATCAAACGGATGAATTTTGGAGTGATTCCAATTGGAGGATGTTCGTGAGTTTTTCAAAATGATTGTATCAAAGTTTCAGATTTTTCTACCAAACCGTTTGACCGTGGCGATGAAATAAAGGCCAAGCGCGCAACTTTTCCAGATTGATGTTTCTTGATGTTTTGGGTAGGGGTGGATTTTTTTGCCAAATTGCCGTGCCAACCGAATTACCAACCGTGCCATACCAATTTTATGCCAAATTTTTTGTGCCAATCGGTAATGGTACGGTATTGTACCGTACCGAAATTTCTTGGTACGGTATTGGTAATGGATATCATTACCACGGTATTACCTTACCGTACCGAACATATAATATAATATATAATTTATAAATTATATAATATATAATTATATAACACATATTTATAATATTCTAATAATTTGATATGATGAAAGAGGCTCAACCTCGGTTCAAGATTCCAAATAGGAAGAAGATTGCAGCCAATGTGTGGGATTTATATGTGTTGGAGAAGTCTAAGTTATTTGAAGCAATGTATAATCAAAAGGTAAGTATCACAACCGATACTTGGACATCGGTACAAAACATTAACTACATGTTAGTTACCGCTCACTTCATGGATAGTGAATGAAAGTTGCACAAACGGATCATAAACTTCATAAAGATCACGGGTCATAAGGGAGAAGACATTAGGAAAGTTCTAGAGGTGTGTTTGAACCAATGGAGGATAGAGAAGATCTTTAGCATGGGGGAAATTTCTATTTGTTTTGGTTCGTAACTTCTATTTGGATTGTAAGCTTAATTTTCATCATGAATCTTGATGCATCATTTGAATTATTGTGTGTGTGAATTGTAAATTATGAATAATAGATGAATTTAGGCTACAATGTATGAGATAAAGGTACAATAAAAAAAGTTTTGCCATTGAATTGGGTTAAAAAAGCAAAAACAATTTTTTTCCCAAAACAAAGTGGCAATTACCATTGCCATACCATGCCAACCGAACATTTGGCAATACCGAATTTCGGTATACCGAAAGTTTGGTATGGTAATGGTAATAGATTTTATCAAACCGAAAATTTGGTACGGTAATTGGTATGAGGGTTTTGGTACGGTAACCGTACGGAACCCACCCCTAGTTTTGGGTATTTGGAGGTCAAGATGTTATATTTTGAGGAAGATTCCTTCTGAGGATTTGTAGGGGACGTCTCCAGCTTTCAAAAGAAACCTTTTGGGACCAAATCAGAGTTGATTTGATTGGTCAAAAGTTTGAGTTTTTGAGAAGTTCGAATTTTAGTTTAAATGGGAAACCTTTTATTTTCTGTTTTATTATTTTATTATGTTTCCTAGTTTTATTCTAAGACTTTTTAGGGTTTTATTTTGTAGTAGTATAAATAAGACTTTTTAGCTGTTAGGGTTAGAAGGGAAGGAGAGGAGGAAACGCAAAAACGACCATGTCTATCCCTAGAAACTCCCTATCAAGCAATAAGACCAAGATTCCTTTTAGCCAAGTCAATACTGCTAAAGCTTAAGCCAAGGATACTAGGGTGGAGACCAAAGCACATGACGAATAATGTGAACCTTACGAGGGATGAGTTGAAAAACTGATACAAATATCCAAACCTTAAAAGTATCTAAGAATAAACTTATCAACACGAGTGATCTCAATTTTTTTGTCAAAAGATTTAATTGACATTCAAAGGCGATATAAAGAAACTGGTCGATCTTTAAAATTAAATTTATTGCGTGCTTTCTAAATAGTAGTAATGATAAAAATCCCACAAAAATGAAGATGAAAATGGTAAATAAAAAACTAGTTTTGAGACAAATAATAGTCCACATGTCGAATATTTTCTTAAATATTGGGTTAAACTTCTATGACAACACAGTTGTGTCTCTTATATATACAAAGAGACTGAAGTAAAAATGTGATTCTATTTACCAATATAATAGGACATATTTATATTTGTAACCTATGAACAATCTTTATAAGTAGTTTTCTCGAAAACAAAATATAAAAGGACAAATTTCATTGCGTACTGGTTTACCCAAGGACACCATCTGTTGCACAAAGTATTTCGTAACGAAGCCTTTTCTTTGCCTCAACTTAGCGCGATGTTGTTGTGTCGTAACCTTAAAGTTGACGCGAAGATTGACTTTCGTCCCTTAAAGTTTGATGCGACGAATGCCTTTGCCTCAAGACATCTGTTGTCTTCGCCGCACAATTGTTTGCTTCTCAACCTTTACCCAAAAATTTGTGCGACAAACGCTTTGCGCGACAAATTGATATTACTTGGGAAAATACTTTTTCTGTAGTAATGTATTCCTTCATGATTCCAAAGCACCATTAACAATGGCTGCAACAAACGCAACAAACTCATATTCAATACTCTGATGTTGAACTTACCACATATAGTGAGACTCTGAGACCACCGACTCACTTATAGCATATTGCGAGATGATAAAAACTGTACCAAAGCGAGACTGCAAAACACAGACAACTCATATTGAGTTTTCTAATTGCTACAAACACAAACTTACTGAGAACGTCCACCAGTCTACCCCACCTCTACAATGCCGACTAGCCAACACCTCTGACAACTTCACCACTCCCTAAAGAAATCCACAACCACCTCGCATTAATCAAAGCAAGGCATGTTAGAATATGAGTATATGAGAATGTATGTTATAGTTGATTATTTGGATTAAAATTGGTGCATAGAAGTCTAATAGAAAAAGGCTTTGAATTGTTCAAGACCTTATAGGATTGAAATGCACGCTTGATTTTGGATTAAGACCTATTATTAGTGCAAGCATTAAATTTTGTAAGAGAGGAGAAAGTTTGCTATAGATGATTGGTGGTTCATTATCTTCAGTCCCTGCAAGGTAAAATGCACTATTTTGACGTCTTCTATAACTTCTTCTAGAGTGCTTCTACAGTTCAGTTTGATTCTTGTGTTTATCGAATTGTAGTTTTGATACTTGTATGATTGGTGGTTCATAAGCCTAATCTATTTGACTTAAATTCTTGATAAGTTTAGTCATACAAGAAACCAAGCAATAAAAGACATATCCACCATTAACCCAAACCAGATGAGGTAGGAAAAACATTGCCAAAAGGAAACAACAAAGAGTCTAAGATTTTGGTTGGATCTACTAGTATGACCGCCAGACCAGATATTTTACAAATCTTGAGACAAAATCCAAAGAAAAAAAAAAAAAAAAAAAAAAAAAAACCCTTTGTGTAAATAAGAATATATGCTCAGTTATTTTTATTGGTTACTTAATCAGCTCCTAAATTTGTTGCATATCTCCCTTGGGTAGATTAAGCATGAAATTAGTATTACATGCGCTTGCTCGGTGGGATCATCTGTAGGCTGGAGTACAGGAGGTTTACTGAGAGGAAATAGACTGTTGGTCCATGGACAGCAAAACCCTTATCCTATAGGATAGGTATCAGCCAAACTATTGCATTTCACGTTCACTCTATCTCATTTTCTTAGTATAAAGTAGCACAAAATATAATTTGCAATGAAAATAAATGACAATTATAGGGAAATGGGGGGTTCTAATGACGTGTAAAATAGTGCGTGTATTGTAAACGCAGAAAAGTATATGTTGGGAATTCTCCTTCAATTAGTCGACATGATATCATGCTCACGACACACCGAAAAACATATTGGGAGACTTTGGAAGCAAACAAAAGACAAATTGAATCAGACTTGTAGGCAATAATTGGGACTTTTCCTTCAACATGATTAAGACTATGAGGACTTGTTTATTTGGTCGGTTCGGTCATGTTGCTTTCTTCCCTTATACTAGTCTCAATCCTCGCATTTGCAGGCCGCCGCCAAGTACTCAGATTCACACACACAGTCTAGTTCAATATATATTTATAAAAACTGTGGTCATAAATCATGCACCATTTCCATATCAGATAAGTACTAATAAGATTAGCTGTGTTTGTTTTGAGGAAACTTCTGTGCATTGGGTCGATTTTGACTAGACAAGGATTGTCTGCCCTTCACTTCCGGTGCCCTTCCCGGGCCCTCCTATTTGGGTCGATTTTGACTAGACAAGGATTTGTCTTATTATATCTATAAAAAATAATATAAAATGTTGACGTGGCTTAACCGTGACAACACAAAATAAGAAGGCACGGAAAAGGCACTGGAAGTGGAGGGCAGACAATCTTTGTCCATTTCGACTATTATGGCCACCAAGTACGTACCTACATATTTACGTATACTTTAATTGGCTATCCTAGAAAATGTGATATTTGGAGGAGGCCAGCAAAGGAGAGTCAATCATGATGAAGGAAAAGTCACAAAATGTGACCAGCTATTCATTTCGGCTTTTGCTTGCTTCCAAAGTCTCCTATTTATTTTTCGGCGTTTGTCGTGACCCATGATTCCATGTGGGCTAATTGAAGGAGGAAGTCCAACAAAACAACTCCAGCCATCCAAATCAGGAGGGCTATTCGGTGGGTCCAACCGTCCAACCCCCTTAAACCAAGTAATCGGGCCATTCTCGCCCGCCTGTACACTTAAAGCGATATGACGTCAGGCTGACGCGTAAAGGTGACTTCAGCATGACGTTAGTCACGGAAGATGTCGTCTTCACAACCACTTTCCCCTTTCTGCAAATCCCCAAAACCCAATCCTTATAAAAAAAATTAAAAATTAAAAAAAAAACCAAATAATTACAATCACAGAACCCAATTCATTTTCATAATTTCTGCTAAAAAATAAAACAACGGAATTATCATACATCGTGAGAATCGTGGGCAGGGGATTGGCCTCCTGCGTAGCTTTCCCAAAACCAGCTTGAGCATTGCTTCTTCTATCGGCTCCCAGAATAAGAAAAACAACCAACTTTAAAAACCCTGCAACCAAATCGAACATTTTCTTCGATCAGTTTCCAGATCACAGGTGATCTCTGTGATGAAGGTTGGACTGGTAAAGAGCAAGGACGGATAAAATGAGGGAGGAGAGGAAGAGGTTTCGCAAGATGGACCGAGAAAAAAGATAACGCCAAAAAATTTGTGGATGGGTCCGGGTTCTTTAACCTTTATTAATTTTCTAACGTAAATCTAAACAACCTACTAATAAAATTATGTTTATCAATCAAAACTCCATGAAATTATTATTCTAACCCTCTCATCCAAACTTAGCAAAATAAAAAGACATGGCAATTTAGTAATTACATATCACTGAAATTTTTAGTTTTTTACATGAACCTCACAGCTGGATAAAAGTAACATATCCTATTTAAAAAAAAGAGCTTTATATCTAGAGAAAAAAACTTTTATTATATTTCAAGGAACTGCACTAGTTTTTAAACATGCCAAGGAGAGACAAAAACACAAAAACAACTAAAGCACAACGCAATAACATGGAAACAATGTTTTAAAATATCAGTCATACCCCTAAGATTTTAGGGTTGTTAATACAACTCAACCCTCACAGTTCCAACAAAATCAATATGTGCCCTAATCTCAACTCATCATCGATTATTTCTACATAATCAGTTTTGAAATTATATGCAAAATCAGTTTGTATCCTTTATTACTATAATCAATTTAATCTGTCATCAATCATTTTTCCAGAATCAGTTCAACTCGTCTTCAACTATTTTTGATAAAACCTCTTTTTATTAATAATCATGATACATGTCTATCAGGCCCTCCCTCGGGTACTAATACTGTATGGATATTGTATATGTAACCTGACTAAATTATTGTCAGTTGAATAAATAACCACACACACGCACAAATTGACATATGCCAGCGAGAGAAGATAATGACATGATTGGTCGAATCTCTAAATCTAATGTGGAACAAATTGATACCCTTTCGTCACTTAGTATTACGATCTAGTAGTATTTCTCTTCACTTGTAAATAAGAGGTTTTAAGTTCGATTCTCGCGAAAGACGAATTTGAACTACATTATTGTTAGTCCATTGTGAGGCTGGACCTCCATTTTTCCTTAGTATAGATAATATCATTTGTTCAAAAAAAAAAAAAGAAGGAAACTAATGAAAATAGTTTGAAAATTTTGAGTTTTAACGATAAGGACAAAATAAAGGGTAAATTGAATAGTATCAGGATTTACTTTTTAGTGTAAAAAATGTTATTTTTCGTTAAAGTGAACAGTACCGGGAGCTTTTCGTTATAATTCTCAAAAAAAAATGATACCATTTCTACATGTAACAGTCATGAATTTAAGAACTAGAAAGGAAAAAAAAAAAAACTAATGAAAAGGGCTTGAAAACTTTGAGTTTTAATGATAAGGACAAAATAAAGAGTAAAATGAATAGTACCGTGATTGACTTTTTAGTGTAAAAATATGGTTTTTCGTTAAAGTGAACAGTACCGGGTGCTTTTCGTTAAAATTCCCAAAAGAAGGGAGAACCAGAATTTAGAACTGAACTTGCTTTAATTGAGTGGTGCTATTATTGGAATGCCAATTGTGATTCGTGAACTATGTTCCAAATGGGTTGACTTTGACTCTAATGACTGCGGTAATTGTATCGAACCATCGTCCGAGAACAGGTGGAGGGGAAATTAGTTTCCGTATGCTTGTAGCTCTCTATAAATACCATACAAATTATATGCTTGATCCGCAAGACATAACAAAAGCAAAAAACAAGTGTGTGTACCTAAGTACTGTTAGTGTGTGAGTATCTAAAAACACAATATCGCATGGATTCTCAAGAAATTTTGGTTAAGAATCTGGTAATGAAAGTTAAACAAGAATTGTTTTCACCGGATGTTGATCTTGTTTCTCTTGTTCCTCCTTCTCCTTACGACATTGCGTGGCTGTCGATGATTTCGAATCCTCACCGAGGATCAGATGAACCCTTGTTCAAAGGATGCTTGGACTGGGTCCTCCAACACCAAACCACACGAGGCTTTTGGGGAGATGATGACCATGTTCCAACCATAGAGTCCCTCACTTCAACTCTAGCTTGCATTGTTGCACTTGCCATATGGGATGTTGGCCATGATGCCATTCAGAAAGGTACGTAAAAAAAAAAGTAAATGATCAAATTTCGCAAACCCCGGAAAAATTTACTGTCGGAAATACCCGTTTATGCATTTGGAATAATTGGTTGTTGCAATTTTTTCTTATGTTTATTGTTTAGGGCTAGCATTCATCCATGCAACCACAGAGAAGCTACTGGAAGAGCAAAATAATTCTTTTCTTGAGTGGTTTGTGATTGTTTTCCCAGCAATGGTGGAACTTGCAGAGAGCAAAGGACTGAATGTTCATTTTTCTCATGGTTCAACAGCGTTGGTAGAACAAGTCTTCCAAAAGAGACAACAAATATTCCAAATGCATAGGTATATATAATTTTTAGTTTTTATAATTTATTTAGAAATAATGAGAAAATACAAGAAAGAAATTAGGGATGAATAAGGATAGAGGATTGGTGGCCGGTAGAACATGGAAGAAAAACACATTAAATGATACACAACATAAAAACTAAAAACTGAAAACAATTTTATCGTAGATTTTCTTTTTAATTTTTGTTTTCATTTTCTATCGCATTACATGTGCATTTCTCCCTCCTCCCACACTACTCAAGCTTATTGAATCTAGTTTTTGTCGAAATATTTATCAAATCGACCGTAGTTAAGTATTTAATCTAGATTTTGTTGGAGCAGGTTGGTGCATAGTGGTGATCAGCAACAGTACTATTCACCAGAACTCATGCAATACCTGGAAGCTTTGCCTGCTGAAGCATATGATATTAACCTCAATGAGACTCTACTATTATGCCAAAGTGAGGAAGATGGGCTGTTAATCCAATCCCCATCAGCTATTGCATATGCTTTTATGAAGACAGGACGCAAGGAGTTTTTGTCCAAATTGAATTCTATTGTCCAAAATGCGGGTTCTCAGGTACGTAGGACATGCATGCATTTCAACTCCATCTATTGCCCAAAATTTCCAATTAATGTTTATGTTTTGTTTTTTTCTTCCTATGATGTGATTGCTGGTCTACGATGCGTAGTCTGCTGTCACCTGTACAAATGTCATCAGACTTAACCCTAGTTTGGTACTGAGGTGATTATGAAAAAAGTGGTTATTAAAAAAAACTAAGAGTTTTTTTATATTTGGTAAACATTTAGCTTCAGTTTTTTTTCACAGTTTTGGGTGAAAAAAAGCCAAAAACACAAAGCTGCAAAACCCAGCTTTGAAAAACCAGTTTTTTTTCACATCTGTTTTACATAAAAGTTTATCAAACACTATAATACTGTTTTTTTTTTCAAAAGTACTTTTACAAAAAAGTTTACCAAACACTCTGATACTTTATTTCACAGCTGCTTATTCGCACAGTACAGCAGAAGCAATTTTTTTTCAAAGCACAACCAAACCAGCCCTATATATACATACATACGAGATATGTCTGAGTATGCTATATTATTCTTTCAACTGTTAAACTGTTACTGAAAATATAAAAATAAAGATCTAACGTTTAAAAATTGAAGTTATCGTACACTTGATAGCATTGTCGAATTTTTCATATACTGTACCAAAAAAAAAATCATTAAATCATAAAATAACCAAGCAAGTGGATTGTAACTTAGTTGGTTAAGAGACGTTTGTCCTTGCACCCAATGTCTCGTGTTTGAATACCCCTCCCCATATTTACAAATAAAGTAGATTATTTTAGCATCTATGAAAAATGACTAATTAACCAAATGAAATCAAAGAGTAAGACAACTCTGTTATACATGTACAGTTCCTGCGATCTACCCCATGGATGAAAACCTTCTAAGGGTTTGTCTTGTTAATCGTACTGAGAGGCTGGGACTGGCAGAGCATTTCATGGCAGAGATAACAACTATGCTGGGACAAGTTTACAGGTGACGACCTAATATTCATCATTAAGCAATATACGCACACGATTAACTGGTTAATTAATCATTTTTTAAAAAAAAAAAAAAAAAACAGAAGTTACATCAGTTGCGAAGAGCCAAAGAGCAAGGAAAAGCATGCCATGCCACTTCAACTATATAAAGATTCACTTGCGTTTCGACTTCTCAGACTTCACGGTTATACAGTATCTCCTCGTAAGGATCAATTAATGCTTAATTGCTGTTATGTACATGCTTTCAGATTATAATATTTGTGATGACTTGAAACTTGGTTTTTCTAGTCTCGTTATGATGTTGTAACTCTGTTGTGACACTCTAGGCATACGTTGTATAATTTTGTATATATCATATCATTTATCAATAAAAAAAATCAGTTTATTTATTAATTTACATACCAAAATTTGTTAATATTTGCAGGGAAGTTCTGCTGGTTCCTTCATGACGAAGATATGATGGTGTACATAGAAGAGCACCATGAAACTTTTCTGAGTGCCATGTATAATGTATACAGGGCGACTGATGTGACCTTTACAGGAGAAAGTGAGCTTGAGGATGTTAAGGAATTCTCTAAAAGAATACTAGAAAAGGAAACAATAAAAGATTCTAAGAATCTGGTCGGGCCTTCTAGTATGAATGGCTTGCAAGACCAGGTATACATATTCAGAATAAATATAATAAAAATTGCAATAAGAAAATATATTCAATCATTATAATTAGTTATTTAATGATAATGATCATCTCCTGATTAATTTTGTTGCATATCTCCCTTGAGTAGATTACGCATGAAATTAGTATTCCATGGCTTGCTCGGTTGGATCATCTGGAGCACAGGAAGTTCATTGAGACGAAATTAGAGCCTGCTGGTCCATGGATAGGAAAGGGTTTATCCTGCAGGTAATTAAATTAATACTAATTAATTGAATAGATTAAGGCAGTCAAATCTCGGATTAAGCAGTTTAATTCATTAATACCTTGCAGATTATCATGTCAAAGCAATGCCATGCTGCTACAACTTGCTATGGAGAACTATACACTACGGCAGTCCATATTCAGAAATGAATTAAAGGAGTTAGAAAGGTTCGTACTCACTGTCTACACTTTCACTAAAGAATTTCCATTTTTTTTAAATTTTAATACTGGAATTAGTTAACCATGAAAACCTTTTTCTTTTTCCGTTGTGGGTGAAAAATTAATCATGCAGGTGGTCAAAGGACACTGGTCTTGTTGACATGGGGTTTGCTAGACAGAAAACCGCGTACTGTTATTTTGCAGTTGCTTCAACAGCATCACATTCTTCCCTGTCATATGTACGGTCCGCACTTGTGAAAGCCGCAGTCCTTGTTACAGTTGCTGATGATTTTTTTGACAAGGAAGGTTCGATGAATGAATTGGAAGCTCTTGTCAAGGGCGTCGAGAGGTACAATATATTAATGTATGATTATTGTGTGCATGGGTTATGTGTGAATTTCACATGCATGTTCTAAGACGGAAATATATAATCCACGTATAGAAATTTAAAGTAACTCTTGTTATTATTTTAACTAATTAAATCTGTACATCGTACAGATGGCAGGAAAAAGGACTAGAAGGACATGGAAAAGCTATATTCAAGTCTCTAAAAGATTTTGTTGATGACATTTCTTGGCAATTCTTCAAACAAAATGGATATGACATAAAGAGTTATATTCAGGATCTAGTAAGATTTTTGGTAAAATAATTTAGTTGAAATAATTGTAAAAAAAAAAAAAAAATTGTTACTTATTCTTCTTTTTACTCTTTGTCGAATGAATTTAGTGGCATCAAACATTTGTAAGCTGGTTAAAGGAAGCAGAATGGGGCAGAAATGGGCATCCCTTGTCAATTGTTGAGTACCTCCAAGTAGCCACAAGATCCATTGCTTCACAGACTATTATTCTTACAGCTGCTCTTCTACTTGATACACCTCCGGGATTAGAGATCCTAAAGTCCCCTCAAAGTCATCCACATACAAATTCACTTATGCTTTTGACACGGCTTTTGAACGAAATTCAAAGCTATCAGGTATAGGAGGAGATATTTTTTATTGTGACCGTCACACTGCCATATAATATTATTAATGTACCTATTATAATAGTGGTAAACGATTAGATTGTTATATTAGGGAGCCAGAGTATATCTTTATAAAACATGCTTTGAAAAAAAAATCTGCGTAAATAGATTAATGATAACTTCACGTAGTGGTGGGATAATTAAACTGAAATATCTCTCGAAAGAGAAATTCATAATGACCACGTTCTTGATTAGTTGTCACCATGTTAATTAGTATAATCTTAAATAATGGAGAAAACTGAATTTAATGATTTCATTGCAGAGGGAGCAAGAGGAGGGGAAGCCAAACCTTGTTCTGCTACACATGAAGGGAAATCCCAATTTGGGGGCTGAAGAATCAATTGGGATTATACAGAAGGTATTGGATGAAAAGAAGAAAGAGTTTCTAGAACAGGCTCTGGTGAATAATGACATCAATGGGGATGATATGCCAAAGGCATGCAAAAAACTCCATCTCTCCTGCCTCAAAGCCTTTCATATGTTTTTCAATTCTACAAATGCATATGACTCCCCAACAGAATTGCTTGCGGACATCAACAAAGCGATTTATGATCCTTTGAGGATGGATGCACAAGGAATATTAAAGAAGGATAAACCTAAAAGCTTGGCTAGCTATGGAAAATCCCAGACTACTTGTGTTGTGAAAGTCCAAGGGAACTTAAGGAAAGAATTTGTGGCCAAACCTTACTTTGGATATGAGGTCTTGTCACTTAAGCTGACAAAACCAACTATTTTACGAGATTTCGGAATTTCAAGGTTTGCATCTATTCCGGCTACTGGGGTTAACACTCTTCCTTTAGCTTCGTGCACTCGTCATGTTAGTGCAGAAATAAATTATAAATTATTTACTTTGTAAAGCAGATGAATAAAAAGATGAGAGTGAAAAAGGCTAGTTAGTCACCTTAGAGTGAATTTCACGTTGATAAGAGGGGATAAACTTTGAATGAGATTGTAAATAAGTTAGATTACTCTCAGTCTCCATGTTGCCAATTAGTTTTATGGTGAAGCTTATTATATCTGGCAAACATTGTTGATGTATAATAATGTTTATGAGTGGAATTGTACCTCTTATATAAAAAAAAAATTAAAAAAAAAATTCTTTAGAGTGGAGTTCCAAAGAGTATTGTCCATATTATTTTGCTTGCTTCCCCTTTTTGCTAGCAAACTATTATTGGTATTCTAAAAATTCAATGGTGCACTCTTCTTAAGATTATCTTTCATTTTAAGTGTAGAAAGTTAATTTAGAGTGCACAATTAGATTATTGGAATACCTATAACAATTCCCTAAAAGTAAATCAATTAGGAAGATAACTTGTAACATATTTTTAAATCTTGTTTTACATACCAACCAGATTTCATCTTAAATGAAGGCTGTCTAGGTAGATATATAATAAGAGAACTTTAACGAAAAGCTCTCAGTATTGTTCACTTTAACGAAAAACCACATTTTTACACTAAAAAGTCAATCGTGATACTATTCACTTTACCCTTTATTTTGTCCTTATAGTTAAAACTCAAAATTTCAAAATTTTTTCATTAGTTTAAGTTTCACAAGCAAAAGATTGCTCAACATATAATTTCTTCGAATTTCCCTCTCTTGTAATGTACTGTTGCATTTTCTGAGAAATACAAGTTGTCTTCTATTTGAAGTTTCTTCTTTTTGATCGTCTGCATTTCTTCTTTCTGTAATATTGGTCTTAGTGTTAATATGGTATCTCAGAGCCGCTTTGCTTGCGTGATGGGTTCTTGGTGAATATTTTTTTTTCCGCTATGGTGTTCTTCGAGGTTTGGTGGTCTCTCTCCTCGACTTCAGTCATCTGGTAAATTGTAAATTTTGGGAATTTTTTTTTCGGATCTTGTTTCTTTGTTCAAGATTATAGTAGTAGCTTGTCTGAATTCAAGGCCGATGCCCAGACAGCTTGATTGATTAGATCATTTCAGATTGTATGCTATTGAAGCGTTCTTGAAGGCTGATGCCAATTCACATGATTTCTGTGATGAATTAAGGTCGATAACCAGTTGTTCATCCAGTATTGTTAGTTGATTGTTCTTCTTTGTGAAATTTTGGACGCGAAATTTGAGTTTTACATCTGGGTTTTTCTCCTAAGTCCGTGATTTTTTCCGATTTCATCTTCTTGGTTTGTGGTTGTGATTCTTGATTGATATTGTTGCTACGTAATCATGTCTGAGTCAGTGAAGCTTGAGAATCTTTTAGGGATGTTAACAATCAAGTTGAATGATGATAATTTCATTAAGTGGAATTTTCAGTTTTGCTCAGTGCTTCGTGGATATGATCTCTTTGATCATTTCACTGGTGAATTTGTGTGCCCTCCTAAATATGTGCTTAATTTTGAGATGGGGGTTACTAAAGAAATTAGCACTACTTATAAAACGCTATGAGTGCTACAGATGGTCTAAAGAGAGGAATGGAAATGATTGACACTGGAGCTCCTTTAAGTGTTCCAGTCGGTGGAGCGACTCTAGAACGAATTTTCAACGTTCTTGGAGAGCCGGTTGATAATTTAGGTCCTGTAGATACTCGCATAACATCTCCTATTCATACATCTGCGCTTGCCTTTATACAGTTAGATACAAAATTATCTATTTTTGAAACAGGAATTAAAGCAGTAGGCCATTTGGGTCAAGACAGATATGCCATTGCTTAGTCTTCTTATTGCTACACTTAGTGATGATGCTATTGAGCATGTGGTTGGGTGTAAGACTTCTCATGAAGTTTGGACTGCTTTGCAAAATAGATATATGTCTATTTCTAGTGCTAGTGTTAATCACTTAAAGGCAGAGTTACATATCATTCAGAAAGGTGGTGATAATGTGGATAAATACTTGTTAAGGATGAAGGTTATTAAAGACAAACTTACTGCACCTGGTGAAAAGATCATAGATAATGATGTTGTTATAGCAGTTTTGACAGGATTACCTGCCGATTTTGATATGATTTGAACTTTTATTCTTGCCAGAGACACACCTATTACTTTGAAAGAATTCCGAACTCAATTGTTAGGGGTAGAGAAGAATCTTGAAACTATGATGCAATCTCTTGTTCATAGTATGGCTACTATGTACTAATGCTGGTTTATCTGCATCTAGTGTTGTGTCAACTGCTTTTGCATCTTTTCCAAGCTCAAGGGTTGCTTAATTATGCTTCATTTCTCCAGAATTTTGATTTTGGGTTTGTTGCTCCTAGACCATCTAATATGGGGTTTTCTCAAGCTCCAGTCTTTTCACAGAATAATTCTTCTTTTTTTGGTTTTACATCTCCTGGAAATCAGTTTAATGGACAAGGGCATAACAGTTTTGGTGGTCAAGGACAAAATAACTACAATGGGCAAGGGAATTGATGTTTTGGTAATAATAATGGATATAGAGGCAAGAGTTCTAGTGGTTATAAATCCAAGTTTAATGGTCCTAAAAATGCTAACTTTTGGTCTGGCAACACATCTAATAGAAAAAGATTGTTCCTGAATGTCAAATTTGCATGAGGAAAGGCCATACTGTAGTCACTTAAATATATAGATCTGATAACACTCAAGTGGTTCAAAAATGTCAAATTTGTGGTAAAAATGGACATATTGCTATTGATTGCAGGCATCAAGGCAATTATGCCTATTAAGGAGCTCCACCTCCTGATTCACTTAGTGCCAATTATGCCTCTCAAGATGTTTCTTCTCAGTTCGTGCATCCTAATTCTATGTCTCATGCTTTCTTTCCTCGTAATGGTGGATTTCAAGGCTTTTCTCCTTCTCAAGAGTATTTTAGTAGCATTGCTTCTTCATTTCTACATCAGGGTCAGTCCTTTACAAGTGTTTCAGATTTTTCTGGAGTTCAAGGGTCTCCTGTTTCTTCCTCTATGACAGCTTTAACTGCACAACCTTCTCCTAAGGGTGAGTCTTGGATAGTGGATACATGTGCTTCTCATCATATGAGCCCTGATATCACACTCTTAAATTCTAATGTTCTTTATAATGGTGATAAGATCATTGTTGGAAGTGGTGAAGGCCTGACTGTTCAGAATGGTCATGATGTTGGAAGTGGTGAAGGCCTGACTGTTCAGAATGGTCATGGCACATTACAATCTCACTCTCACTCCTTATCTTCGAAATATTTTGCATGTTCCAATGTTAACTATGAATCTTCTTTCAGTGAAATAACTGTGCAAAGATAACAATAGTTGGTTTATCTGTGATGATTTCCTATTCTTTGTGCAGGACAAGGAAACATGGGTGATACTTTACAAAGGAAAGAGTAGCCAAAATGAGTTGTTGAGGATTCCTGTACATGTGTTTCCAACTTTACTTCCTCAAGGTGATTCTACTGCTGCTGCATTCTTGGGAAAAGCTGTCAAGACTTCTTTATGGCGTCACAGGTTTGGCCATCCTTCAAATGAGATTTTGGAAGCTATGCTCGGGGATTCTAATGTGTCCGTCTCTAGTGATGTAAATGTTCATGTCTGTTCACACTGTCTTAGTGGCAAAATGAGTAAATTGCCCTTTTCAGGGAAGTTAGATAGGGTTGATATTCATTTTCATAAAATCCATACTGATGTGTGGGGTCCTTCACCAGTTGTATCAGTTGAGGGATTCAGATGTTATGTGTCTTTTGTTGATGAAGCAACAAGATTTGTAGAGGTATTTCCTTTAATGAATAACTCTGAAGTTTTTGGTACTTTTGTAAGATTCTGTGCTTATGTGGACAATCAGTTTAATACAAAGATAAAGGTATTACAATCTGATGGTGATGGTGAATTCTTAAGTAATACTTTCAAGGATTATCTTGCTACTTATGGGATATTGCATTTTATACCTGGTTCTTATACACCTCAACAAAATGGCTTGGTGGAAAGGAAACACAGGCATATTGTTGAAAATGCTATCACTATGTTGAATGTTGCAAAGCTTCCTCTTAAATGTTGGTACCATGCAGTTTGGAAAACTAAAAATTTGAAAATGCAATCAGAGTTTGGAAAACTGTTTGATAAGAAACCTGTTGTGGTTAATCTGATGGTTTCACCTACAAATCAAGATGCATCCTTGTCTAGGAATTTAGTTTCATCTGCATCACCTACTAGCATTTATTCCCGAGACTCTAATGTGCCAAATCATGCACACGATCCTAATCTAGATGATGTTGCTTCCAGTTCTAAAGGTACTCTTTCCAATCCCTATGTGTTGCCTGTCCTTTCTTTAAGACAATTGGAAGCTGTTTTGCCATTTACTACATCTTCAGTATCCACTGCTTCAGTACAAGCAGATGTTCTTCAGGGTATTCAAACAGGGCTTAAAATTGGAACCATCACTAGAAAGGCTTACACTGCACTTGCAACAGTTTTTCCTCAAGTTCAAACTTTGAAATTACATGATTATACTCATTTTTTTTGGAGGATTTACCTTTGTTGCTGATATTACAGATTCTTCTAAACCCTCTAACTTCAGGGTTGCTTCTCAAATTCCTTATTGGCAACAAACCATGCAAAAGGAGTATGATGCTTTGCAAGCTCAAAATGACCAAGATTCCTTTTAGCCAAGCCCTTAATATCAAGCTCAAGTCAATTAAGGATACCAGGGTGGAGACCAATGCACATGACGAATAATGTGAACCTTACGAGGGATGAGTTGGATACCTAAAGAAAAAATGATACAAATATCCGAACCTTAAGAGTATCTAAGAATAAACTTACCAAGATGAGTGATCCCAAATTTTTTTTGACAAAACATTTAATTGACATTCAAAGGCAATGTAGAGGAACTGTTCAATCCTTGAAACTAAACTTATTGTGTGCTTTCCAAATAGTAGTAACGATTAAAAACTCCCACAAAAATGAAGATGAAAATGGTATAAACGAAAAACTAGTTTTTAGACAAATGACAATCCACATATGTTGAAAATTTTCTCACATATTGGGTTAAATATCTATGACACCACACTTGTGTCTCTTACATTTACAAAAGATATTGAAGAAAAAATGTGATTCTATTTAACAATATAATATGACATTTTTATATTTGTATCCAGTGAACAGTCTTCATAAGTAGTTTTTCTAGTAATGACCGTGGCTCTAATTCCTTCATGATTCCAAAGCACCATTTAAGAGTGGATATGCAACAGACTCAAAACAACTCATGTTCAATACTCTGATGAAGAACCTACTATATCAACCTCACAACGATCAAACTAAAATATAGTGAGACCACCGAACTCACATATAGCAAAAAAAACTCAACTAAGCGAGACTGCAAAACACATACAACTCATATTGAGTTTTCATTATGATTAACCTACTATATCGACCTCATAACAATCAAACTAACATATAGTGAGACCACCAAACTCACATATAGCATAATTTTCCAAGATGACAAAAACTCAACTGAAGCGAGACTGCAAAACACATACAACTCATATTGGGTTTTCGTAATGGTTACAAACACATACTTATTGAAAATATCCACCAGTCTACTCCACCTCTACAATGCCGGACTAGCCAACACCCCTGACAACTTCACCACTCCCTAAAGAAATCCACAACAACCTCGAGTTAATCAAAGCAAGGCATGTTAGAATATGAGCATGAGAAAATGTATGTAGTCGATTATTTGGATTCAAAATTGTGTAGAAAAGTGACACATCCCGACCCGGAGTGTCCACCTGGACTCCGAATCGAGTTGTACTGGCCGGCACCAAGAATGTAACAAAGCCATAAAGTGTAGTGATGTGGAAAATGTGAGTAGATTTAAACCTAAAGTACCTAAATGTAAGAGTGCGCATGTGAGCAGGAATGAACCCATTTCACACGTGATGTCAGAGTATAAGTAAAGTACAGTAAAGGTAAAAGAGGAATTATACCTCGATAGTATACCCACAACAACATTTTGCCATAAATCCTCGTCGACACGAAAGCTCTGCCACTAATACTTGGAGGAGCAAAAAACAAGGGTGAGTGGGCCTAAAAATAAAGCTTTGTAAAAACCTTTTTGAAACATAATAACCCCTCACCGTAAAACAAGTATAGTTTCCAAAATAGATATACTACGTATAGTATGAAAATACTTACCATAGCCAGAAGTATCTCAAGAATGCAATACGTCACAAACTTTTGTAAATAAACACATGACATATGTAATCATATATTCTCACATAAACAAACATATCATATCGAGTGCTCATCGACATATGCTAACACACGAGTTCATGCAGAGGTATTCTGACATGAACATGATTGGGTGTAATAATGATTTATGCTCTAGTACTACAATCACGTGTAGACTGGCGCTATGCGCATCATATACGAGTTCTAATTGCCTATAGCAATCTAGGACAGGACTGGCATCTACAATGAATCTAAAGTGAGTGTACGGTGTGATGTGAACATATACGTGAAAGACTGGCCATGGCCCCGGGCGAGTACTAACACCAATGCAGCCAGTGGCGGATCCACAGTGGGGTCGTCGGGGTCGCACGACCCCTTGGAAACCATGGAAACAACCTTGAAGCTCCCATATGCGACCTCTTGGAGCTGGGGTCGTCGGGGTCGGACTCGCACGCCAACTGTTCGACAAAAAGCCTGAACGAAGACTCGGCAGGAAGAGGAAGATATCACTTCAGTATCTTTCTATTTGGCATTGTGGTAATCTAACCTCTTTGCCACGTGATATGAGTTATCTTGCTACATTACACACTCTATTGATATGGAATTGTGAGCAGCTTGATTTGGAGAACGGAAACTATCAACTAATTCCATTGAGGCTCCGAAGATTTTCTATTGCGGCAGCACCAAGGATGGTGGCATTGCCCGAATGGTTGCAGGGAGCTGCTAACACCCTACGAGTCTTGTGTATTTGGGATTGTGAAAACTTGGATGCATTACCTGAGTGGTTGACAAGTTTCACATCCCTTAGAATACTTCACCTTAGTGAGTGTCCAAAATTGGTTTCTCTACCAGAAGGGATGCATCCACTCGAAGTTAAAATAGAGCATTGTCCTCAATTGAAGAGGGGAATCTAGTGCGAAATCGACGAAGATTGGCAAAAGATTTCTCATGTTCAAGGGGGCTGGGTCTGCTGTATTTCCCCATCTATCTCCAAGTTTCTTTTTTGGCAGCACACATACTTGTCTTGGGACTGCCTTGTTTGATTGTATCATGCTTTCATTCGTTTTATGTAGTTTCGACTGCTTGTATCTCTTAACCTTTGGGTTTGTTGTATTTACCAAAAATAATAAAATAATAAAAACCAAAAAAAACAAAAAAAAAACACCCTTTTGGGTGTGTAAATACCAATGTGTAATTTATTTTTTCTTTAATTTACATTTTTCAATTATGAATCTATATCGGTCAAAACTCAAAAACTCTCATGCTCTAGCTAATGCTGCACAATCGAATTCTGAAGAATCAAATCATGGCTGTTTCTATTTGTAGTATATACCACCCAAAATTATAGTTTGCATTAACACGTTAATCAGCAGTTAATCTACTATTGAGTGTTCAGCACTGAAACTACTAGTTCTTACTATAATACCATATACACTCCACTTTTATATTGAGAGAGATAGCTTGCTTGTTTATATTGAGAGAGATATTTTTGCTTGTATTGAAAATGAAGCTATAATGCTTCGTTTTCAAAATATGAAACCTCGTCGTGGACAATTATAGTTTGTAATATTGTTTCCATTATGAATTATGAATGAAAGTACTATGATTTCACTTTCAATATGTTTTTCCATCCTAAATTTTTATTTGAACTTTTACACTGCGACCCCTTGGGGTAAGATTCCTGGATCCGCCACTGAATGCAGCAATGATCAGCAGATAATGTAAATATGATCATGCAACAGTAATTCAACAATTCTAGTCAATATAATATTATTCTTCACCATAAATATAATTAAGGCATCCCCTTATAGTAAGCTTACATGTGCTCCCGTAGGATTATTTCATAATTTTCCAATAATAAGACATTTCTTATAAACATTAATTTAATTATGGCAATCATGTAGAAAATTCATTAATAAATATATATGTGGAAACTAACCAATACACACACACACACACACACACACTATATGAAAGAAAAGACCCACTCACAAATCATGTCGTTGGGTCGAACCCACCTCGCAGGCATCGAAGATCCTTGCGATACATTTCACCTAGATACGAAACCATGTATGTAAATATAACATACTAATGTAATTATGCGTTTTCGTACAAAGTATGGCTAATAAAAGAACTATTTTAAAATTGTCGAATTTCGAAAAGCGGACAACATATTTGGATTCGGCATGTCGAGAAACCTAATGAGGGACCTCAAGTTCCTCCACACGCTGTCGCATGCGCTGCACGCACCAGCACCACACACGCTTCACGCGCCGCCAATACAAACAGTACTAACCTTCCTCGCAAGTTCTTGCAGTTTTGTAGGTTTTTCCCCCGATTTTCAGAGCCAATTTCTAGCTCAAAACCTAACCATTTTTAGTGTTCTACCTATGTATGTGAAGCTTGTAATGAAGAGAGTATGATCATACCATTAATGTTCCACTTGGATTCTAGAGCAGTTCCAGCGTGGGAGCCCTCCTCCCAGGCAATTCACTATTCAATCCACCCAGTGAACAGTAACTGCCCTTAATAAACAGTAACTGCCTTTTGCATCTCCAGTGTGGGAGCCTCCCTCTTGGCAATAGGCAATAAAATATTAATATTTTTTTTATTTATAAAATAATACAAAATAATTTTATTTGTAATTTCGGATAAGATTTTTAATGAGTTTTTTATTATTTGGTATGTTTATGTAATTTTATTTGGTGTGTTTTTGTCACTTGAATAAATATTCTCTTAGTATAAATAACTTACCAAATTAAATAAATTTACTCTCACTTTAAATAAAGTACTAAATTCAATAAATTGGCAACAACATAAAGTACTCTATTCAATAAATAATAAATTACAACCCAAAGTGATTGGAAAATTATGGGCTCCGATTACAAAAATTACTCTATTCATCATCACTTAACAAATTTTTGGTGCTAGGATGATCTTCTCTTGTCGTGCTAGGACCCTCTTCTCTTGCTCTCGCTTCTCTTGCACGCTTCTTTCGTACCACGTTCGCTTTCTCTGAAAATATTTAGAATTTGGAGACTTCCCTTCTAAAGGCGTGTTCATAATTTCACGATCTCGTTAAGCCATTCGTTCTTCTCTAACCTGTTCCCTTTCTTGCCTAAGTAGCTCTCTTTCTCTCTGATTAGCTTGAAATTCTCTCTCAATAGCTGCAGCTTTTGCCTCATCTCTAGCCTTATCAGCCTCAAATTTCGCCATTTCCTGTGCCAAAGTCAATTCACCTTGGCGAGCAAGTTCTTCCATGTATTTTGCATAGTCATTCTTGGAAGCGCTCCCTTTTCTCTTTGAAGCCTTCTTACCTTCAGGCCTAATTGGATAACGGGTCGAACCCGACGCTTGTTCAGGGAGGGGTGTTTCGGGCACTTCTTCTGCATCATCTTCATGAACTTGCAAGCCATGATCGGGTGTAGAGTGTAGAGGGGTGTTGTTCATGAAAACTTCTGAACCGACAGGCACAACTCTGAATTTAGGACAATCTTTGACAA